AAAATATGTGCAAGCTTCGTAGTGCTGTCTGTCATTATTGCTTCAGGAAAAAAAAAAAAAAAAAAGACACAGAAGTAGAGGATCTAAGTAGAGCTGGGTTTCAGGTCTCAGTACCAGATCACAAAAACGAACAGAATCACTTACATTTTCTACCAGAGTATCTGAGCCCCCTTCTGGAATAAGTAGCACACTGGAAATTTTGTGGTATGCTGGCTTCAGGCATTGTTCATATTAATCCAGTTGCTGTCTAAATGGGAATTAGATAGATATGAAGACCTTACCTTTTCTCTTCTTTACTTCACTCTCTGTCTTAGCTTTCTGTGACTTACTGAGTAGCTATTTTGGGGGTTTCAGTATAATTTTGCTTTTTTTTGGCTCTTCCTCAGCTGTCCAACAGCTCTCTCAACCAGCTGAGAAAATGACAAGGTTCCTGACCATTGTGGCCGTCTTTGCTGGGCTCTGCCTGGAAGCTGATTGATTAATCAAAGTCTCATTTGAGCTGAAGAGCAAAAATCAAATTCTTGTATCTTCTCATGCTCAGGGGAGCAGTGTTAAGTGGGTTTGTATTTGGAGTAATGATACTCTGTATCCACAAGGAACAGACTTCATTTGCTTTCTCAGTGATAGTTTGAATTCTACACAAATGTGATAGCCTAAGCTGCTCGCATTTCAGAGTCTGTTTCATTCTCAGGTAATAGCTAAATTTTGTAAGATCTCTGCTGAGGTATTATTACCCTCTATTTTGTACTTTGCAGAGAGCTATAAAAAATAGATGGGGAAAATGAGGAGCACCAAGTTTGTGCAATAGCAGCATTTTGTTTAATCTCCTTCTAATGATAGATTGTATTGAAACAGGCAATGCATATTATTTTGTCTGGGCTCTTTTGTTTATGTAGAATGATAATCACGGTTGATAGTTTAAAGTCCCTGGGTTTGCTTACTGGAAGTATTTTGTTTAAAACTTTTGTTTTCCTAGATTTCAGTAGCTGATCTCCCAGGACTGATTGAAGGTGCACATGCAAACAAAGGAATGGGCCACAAATTTCTCAAACATGTAGAGAGAACCAAGCAGCTTCTATTAGTTGTAAGTTAAATAAAATTTACAGTTTATTGAAATCAAAGTGCAATAAATAAAATATATCTTAATTTCAATATAGTTGGAATTCAGAAAATAATTTATAATTTGCATGATTATGATAAATATAGCTGTAATTGTGTTTACAGAATGAACCACTCAAATGACTAATGATAAATTAAGTTCTTAAATAGAATTTATCATTGAAAATTTCCAATTAATTTAAAACAGTGAAGTGTTCCAAGCATAACAAAAGGATGATTTTTTCTTCAAGATTCCCATAATAAGTTTAAAAACCAGACCTTTGAGAAACACTGTATCAGGATTAAGCAGTTTGTGCCTCCAGTGTATCTTCTCATGCTCAGGAATATATATATACACTCTGCAGTATAGTTTCCCTCTGTTATTTGCCCAGGAGTGAACACATTGCCTTGGACATTCTAGGCAAAGTAGTTGATGGAGAGTACCTTTATACAGTAACATAATTTTATTTCACAAAACATGTTTTTTGTGTAACTTTTTCAGGTTGATATTTCTGGGTTTCAGCTGTCTATGAAGACCCAGTTCAGAACAGCCTTTGAAACGATATTGCTTCTAACAAAGGTAAGTTCTCATCTTCCTATGTGACAGTTGTAATTATGTGTTGAGTCAAGAAAATGGCTCAGTTTTGATTAAGAAACATTCAAATGTTAGTGTGTCTTCTGGATTTATAATATAAAGCCAGTGAACAAAGAGATTCTCCAAAATTATAAAATCTTTATTTTTACTTGTCCAGGTTAAACCACTCTACTTTATGTTGGGTACCACATAATTAATAGAATTGATTAATCTATGCAGCATGTGGGATATTTCTTGCAGTCAAGTAAAGGTAAAAAGACACATCATTTTCAGTTCTCCAATCCAGTAGCATTTTAACAAGTAGAAATATGTGGTTACAGTTAAAGCCCTGCCTTGATGCCCTTACTGCATAGACCAACATAGGTAAGACATCAGGCCCCAGCTTTGCAGACATTCACTGTTTCTATCGCTTAACTATGCTTCTGATTGAAATAATACATATTATGTAAATTTAAATTTATCTGTGTGACTTAAGTTGATGAATCTTCTAAATTTCATGTATTGCTGTTTATTTTTAACAACAAATACTTACTAAGGGAAATTTACTTTTTTTTAAGGAACTGGAGCTGTACAAAGAGGAACTTGTAACAAAGCCTGCACTTCTTGCTATTAATAAAATTGATTTGCCTTGTGCAAAGGATAACTTGGGTGAACTTATGACACAACTAGAGAATCCTCAGGGTAAGTGAAATTCCAGCAAAAACTTTCATCAAAAGTAGTAGTAAGATCTCATATGGATAACTGCATTGGCAGAGAGTTGTTTGAAACTGAAGTCAGCTATTAAATTTTTTATTTGAACATCTGTTTAAAATCACTTCCTGCATTTAGAGCTCTGTTTATAAGCATTTGTAATGGCTTCACTGTTGGGAAAGGATTGTAATAAAATACAGATATTGCAGATGATCTTTCCCAACCGTGATATGGGAGAGTAAGTTTCCAGTCTAGGTGTATGGAATAAGAGTAACCTCCACAGCAGGTCCCCTTATAGGCACTGACATATATACCATTTGTCATGTGACTTTGGCCTAAACACATGAAAATTCTGGACAGGTCTGTGTAGGTTTGCTTCAATCTTGCAATTACATTCGGGTGAATTACTTTCTCTTTCCTGGAGTGTGTAGAAACCAGAAAGGCTTAAGACCATATTCTCCCATATTCTGCAACTTGGGATTTCTTTGTACGCATTGGAAGTGTATAGAATCTTCTCATGGCAGCATTAAGAAAGGTATAACTGCTATATTACTGCTTGTCTTCTGAGATTTTAGAAGACTAATTAAGCAGATAATATGTATATTAATTGCAGCTATGTGTATAACTGTAATTTATTAAAGTTTATTTTCTGCATTTAATGGGATTTTAGGGGCTTTGTAGTGATACAGTATTTGGGGATTGTGCTAACTCTTTCAATACAATTTTTCAGACTTCTTTCATTTACTAGAGGAAGAAATGATTCCAGAAAATACTCTTGAATTCAGAGAGGTGATTCCTATATCTACGTATACTGGAGAAGGAATTGAGGAACTCAAAACATGTCTAAGAAAATCCATAGATGCGCAAGCCGAGCAGGTGAATGAAGAATACCGGAAAAAGAAACTCTTGCTTTTACAAACTTCCAAAGAAGAGCAAACGAATAGAAGCTGGCATTCCTGAATGGATACAGCACATTTTAATATTTTAACTATGCACATGGGGCCTTTGTTGTGCAGACCTTTCATTTAATTGTTCTCTCTTCCATCTTTGTCTGCTTCCTTCCATTTGTTTTGGCACTTGGGTTGGGCCCAGTGGGGAAAGAGACAAGGATTTTTTTAATTTATGTTGCCTATAAAGCTCAACAATGTAAAGACCAAAGTATGTGTAACTCAAAGCACTGCTTAACAACTGGTGATCCCTGGAATATTTTTTGGCAAGTGAGAAGAATGGAGGGAGTATAACTTGCACAATGGAGCAAGTTCAACAACTCTACGTGTCCTGTGGGCATCAGAAGAACCAAAGGGAGTTTCTGATAGAGGAATTTTCCAGGGTCTGGGCCTTCTAAGGTGAACCAGTTCTGCTGTTGTGACAGGCATTGGATTGTAGGGGTTTTGTTGGTTTTAAGGTTTAAAAGGAAAACACATATCAATGGCTGCTAGGAAGTGACTTGTAGGAGCACAAAAAGCAAGACTGATTTGTAATGCTGGAGGCTTTTTTTACACCTGCTGGTGCCTACTGTTGTCATCTTAGTTGTATAAATCCTTATTCCAAATTCCCATGCTTAATTTGTGATTCCCTCCTTTTATGGAGTTACTGGGTTTATGTTACATTTCAATGCAGAAAATGGCTTTTTCTGAACAAGCTATACATTTTTGGAAATATTTAGTGTTCTACAAGAAGGCACAATCACATTTTAATTTAAAAAAAAAGTAATTTATTGTCAGGGTGTTTTCTACTTTAAAGCTATTAAGTTGCCTGTAAAGCAAAATAAGATTGAATACATCAAAGCCTTCTAGTTGGGTCTAGTTTTGTTCTGTAATATATGTATCATACCCTGCTTCTTTAAATTTTGTTAAAGCAGTCACTGGGAAGAAAGGTATGGTTTCTCATAATGCATTTATTTTATCATTGGTATTGGTTCTTAATGTGATTTTCCTCTAATTTTACTGTGTTTGGGGTAATAAGCTTTCCCTAATGCTAAGAGTAGGCTGTCAATTTTTAATACGCCATTTTACAGAATTGCAGAATCAATTAGGTTGGGAAAGACCTGTGAGATTGAGTCCAACCAATGATCAAACACCACTTTGTCAACTAAACCATGGCATTCAGTGCCATGTCCACTGTTTCCTTAAACACCCCTGCCCTCCATCTTCCTGGGCAGCCTGTTACCCTTTCTGTGAAGAAATTCCTCGTGATGCCCAGTCTGAATCCGCCCTGGTACCGACTGAGCCCATCTCGTCTCATCCTGTCGCCGGCTGCCTGGGAGAGAAGAGACCGACCCCGCCTGCCTACAACCTCCTGGTGATAGCATCACCCCTGAGCCTCCATTTCTGCAGGCTATTTCATAGCTGATCAGAGCATTTTGTTTTTTCCACACTTTGTGAACACCGGCCTTAACCTCACTCATGACAGGGGGAGTGGGGGTGCGTGTGGACTAGGAGGCAGCGTTGGGCCGGAGCTGCCTGCCGCAGCCGGGTTGCTCCGACCCGCGCTCAGCCGCCTCCTCGGAGGGACGCGTTCAGAGCACCGGCGCTCCGGGCCGCGGCTGGCGGAGCTCCGCGCTGCGCCGGGCCGGGCCTGGCCGCGCTGCGCCTGCGCCGCCGCCCGCCCCACAAGGCTCAGCGCGGCGGCTCCGCGGCCGAGCGGCGGCCATGGCGGCTGCTGTGCGCGGCTCCGGCACGGTGAGCGAGGTGAGCGAGGTGAGGGTTCCCGGGCCATCCCACGGCGATCCCACGGCGATCCCCGGCTCCCCCGCGAGCCCGGCATCGCAGTGCGGCAGGCTCGGAGCGCTGTCGCGGGCGGGGATCGGCGGTGCTCCCCGGGGGGAGGCTGTGTGTTCTGTCCGTGCGTCAGCTGCTCTTTCCGATTCAGTCGGTAAAATAATTACCCCCTGCTCCAGGTTTTCCTTGGAAATGCTAATCTGTTAGCTAGGATCGTTAATTCTAACCCGGTACATCTATATTTAATTTTAAAAGGAGTTTTGGGGAACGTGGAACTGCATGATTGATTCCCAGAATTTAAAAAAAAAGTGGTGGCATTGGTTCTGAACCAGTCCCTTGAAACCGGTGAGCTTTGGGCCTCCAGCTTCTGGTGGCCACTTAGGCAAAACTCATAAAAAATTTGAGCTGCTCATGCTGTTGTGGATAGTTAGGCAACCGTTTGTGTTGATAAATTATTCTGTGACTTCTCTCCTACAGGGCTTTACAAAACAGTGATGCTTCCCAGACCGTGGCCTTCCCAAGGCCATGCAAGGGAACAGAGTTGGTTTTACTCATATTTGAATTATGCCTGTAGTAAATGTGCTTTTTTTTGTCTTTTTTTTTTTTTAATTTTTTTAATCTTGTGGGCCTTTAATGATTTACCAGTTTTTAACCAGCTTCAGCCAGCATCTCTTGTTACAGCAGCATGGATCTTTAGAATAGGGGGCAAAATCTGTCCCTTTTAAGGGGTGTTGTCAGGACTGGTAGCTTCTGTGGATCAGATATAAGAGCCTTGCACAGTACAGCTTTAAAATCCTTGGGATGGAAGAAGCTGAAGCCAAGAATCTAAGGCAAGGTGGGGTTTTATCTGGCCAAAGTGTGCCTTCTTCCCTTGGACAACTAGTTGACAAGTGGCTGAGGTCCCTAGTTGTTCAACACCATCAGAGATAGACAGTAAAATCAGATGGACTAAAGAGAGGAAGAGAAAGCCAAAAGAAATTCCATGTCTGCAGAAATAAGTTGGGTATTGGAGAATATTCCATACCTGCTCTGTATCTGTTTATTACAACACAGGTTTCATCATTTAATGGGAGGGACTCCTGGCTGGGCACAGCTCCCTCTGACAGCTTTGTTTGCCTGCAATAATTTTCTACTTAATTATGTTGTTGTGGTTGTTCATGGGTGTGGACCTGCAGAGGGAGGTCTGTGTGTTTATCTTGGCTTCAGCTGCAAAGTGCACAGAAAGCTTGAAAATTCATCAATAATGTTAGTGAACAAAAGCTGCTGCTCCAAGCAGTGCATCTGCAGTTATGTCTTATGTGCCATAGCATTCATATCAATAGGTTTGCAAATCTGAAGCCGTCTTTCTCATTCAGTGAAAAAATCGGGGTTCATGACTGTGTTGTAAAGTCTCCTTCTTGCCTAGACAGTTTGATAGAAGTATTTCTTTGATGTTTTTGTAGGTGATGGAGCCTGTTCATATAAGAATTTTATAATATTTCAGGGTTAAATATGGGTAGTTAAGAATAAACTCCATCTTTGCACATGTTAGTGCAACAAACTCGCCTTTAGGTTGTGAATTTTAACAGTTACATACTGACATACTTGGAGGTCTGATGCTGTCCAGTAGTAAAGTGATTTACCTATGACGACCTGCAGGTTTGATGTGGGTGTAGAAAATCCACAGGAGGATCTTTTCCTCTGGAAAACCTGGACAGCCATTGAAAAGGCTTTACCAGTGTTTCCTGATTTTCTCTGATTTCCTTGAAACCTTTGTGTAGAAGGCAGGAAGGAAAAGAGACCCACAAGATATATAAACAATTTAGAGCTTGTCCTTTGTTTTCTGACATTAAATAATCATTGCCCCCTTTCCTCACTGCTGTTTAAGTGCAGCCTTGAACCTAACATCTGCAGTAATCATTCTGTATGACTTACGGATTTTTTGCTAAAAACATAAAATTCGGGATGCAAACTCTGTGTCTTGGAACACCCATGAGAGAAGCATTTTTTTGCACCTTTGTTTTCTGAGATGAATAGATAGAGAACAAGCTCTGGAGAAAAAAGGTGAAGAAAGAAAAAAAAAAAGTAGTTTGAGTTGTGTCTTAAATAAGAGCAAATTGTAGAAGGTGATGGAGTTGGCCTAATGCAAACATAGCTGATATTTGTAATTCCTGAATTGCAGTGTAAAAATGCTGTTGCTAAAATTGCATGAAACAAATGTGATGTTGACTCTTTCTTTGTTCTGTTTCTTAGATCCAGTAACATCTTTTTTCCTACTTAGAGAAGTTGCTAAGATTTCTCTTGATTTGAGGACATTGCTGGTAAGTGCACTGACGCCATCTAATTAAGACAACGCCTGTTTTGTTACTGTCTTCATCAGGGATCTGAAGCTATAATTACAATCATTAGAGGCCAGCAGTATTTGCAAGATGGGATAGGTCTCCCCTGATGGAAGGGATGGTGGGTAACTTGCCTATTTGCAGTAATCTGCTACTGCAAATGAATTTTCAGAAGCAGCAGGTTTCTGAAAATGGTCAGTCATGTGTTTATTCCAGCTGGTTCACATTTAGCTCTGTCTTGGAGTATGTCCTGTCTGAATGGAAGTTTTATTCAGGTAAAGCAAGCTCTTTATGGAAAGAGCTTGAGGAGAACAAAACATGATGCTATATTAGATTTACCCCTGAAGTTCATTTGTTATAGTTCCATTTTCTTGCAAATTGATTGTTTTGACCTTACCAAAGCTAGGGGTAAGCATCGTACTAAAATAGTCATAATGCAAATACTTTTCTGGTCACCCTATCATGGGGCTATCCTGTTAATGACCTGCCATCTGAGAAGTTTACTGCCATGGGAAGAGACGCTTGCCCATGCTCAGCTATCCTTCGCAACAATATAATGCTGTCTGCTTGACAAATAAGGTCGTTTTTAGCATACATGTGATTGTCAGTCTTTCTGTCCAGAGTGCTTCTTTAGAATCTAGACTGTGATCAGCATGTCAATGAAAGTGTCCACATTCCAGAGCAATTCTTCAGGGCTAGATGGCATAAAATAATTGCTTAATGGTTTCTTAGGAAACAAATTTAACTTCATTTATTTTTCTATAAATCAATAGAATGCTAGTTGCATGGCTTGATAATGCTTTTAGTGTGTTTCCAATATACATGGGAATTCCATATTTGAAAACTGGAGCTCCCTGGTCATTGGATGTTTGCAGGTATAAAAGGAAAGTGAGGGATCAGATTCAATTGCCTTTTTTTTTTTTTTTTTTTTTTTTTTTTTTTTTGCAACCATGTCTATAACCTTTCTGTGATACAGACACTCAGTTACTTGTATATGCATTAAGCAAAATTTCTGATACTTAAGGGATTGGTTTATGACTTTGGACATTTGACAGCTATGCACATTGCAGTATAATAATTTGGAAGAAATTTCAGGAGGAGTTTATAACTGAATGGTGCTCAGCGAGAATTTGTGAAGTATCTGTTCATTTTTAGGTACTATAATTCTTAGTGTCCAGCTTCAAGTACACTCTGGGGTAAATGCTCAGTGCCTGTTATGTATTAGGCTTCTTTGAAATATCTTAGTCATGCAGAGAAGGGATAACTGATAACTTGAATTGAGTCTTTTTTTTTTTTTTAAGTTTTTGTTTGTTTTGTAAAGGCCCATCATTGAGACTGTTTCTCAGCATCTCTGCCAGCAAGAGGCTATAGTAGGTATGCAGATAGTGGTTATATTGAAAAGGAAGCAGTATTAACACTTGTTCTGGAGTGGAAAATGTGGAAGCTGAAAAGTCATCTGCTTTCCATGATTGTTTGTGTGCTTGGACAGTTGATTCTGAAAGGCAGGAGTAGTGTGGCAGAACTGTTAGTTGCTGCTGAAAAATTAATAGTGAGTTACTCAACAGAGCCTCCGCCACTATCTCGCAGCTCTTGTCAACAGTTTGGCCTATATAAAATGTGCATAACTGCCTATATATGCATTCCTTGCCAGTCTAATGATGCAAATTTTAAGCAACTCCCTTTTACTCATGCAGCAGCATGGTAGGACTCTGATATTGTATCTGGGCTAAAGACAGGGAGCTGCCTTGAGGACAGGTGAACATAAATCATGGCTATGTAGACTTACAGATTCAAATGTGCTTCTTTTTCATCTTGAACACAGTGAATTCAACAGTCTGTCAGCTGAGAAGTCAGAAGTCTGTGAAATAACCTGACATTTAATTAAAGCATGAATGTAGTAGTTTTTAGTGGTTTTCAAGACAGTGTTACCACTGTCTTAAGTGTGTCAGACAAAGAAGGTGCCACAGAGTTACTGCCTACTAGCTGTCATCTAAGATTATTAAAATCAAAAATCAACTGTAGTTAGTCCTGTGTCCATTGTTTTCATTTATATTTTTCTTTTTAATTGCAGGAAACAACCTCTGTGGGCAGATATGGGCTGCCGGGATGTTCACGCGGCGACCGTACTGGCCTTCCTCAGTGGAACAGCCTCAGTGGCTGGGCTCCTTGCAGCAGTTCTGCTTCCCAACTGGAGGCAGATGAGACTGTACACATACAACAAGAACGAGAGGAATGTGACCGTTTACACTGGACTCTGGATTAAGTGTGCACGCTTTGATGGGAGCAGAGACTGTGTGATCTATGACCCACAGTGGTACACGGCTGTCGATCAGCTGGATTTGCGTGTTCTTCAGTTTGCCCTTCCTCTGAGTATGTTTACTGCTGTCTCGGCTCTGTTCCTCTGCATGATTGGCATGTGTAACACAGCCTTTGTATCGAGCGTGCCAAACGTCAAACTGGCCAAGTGCCTGGTAAACAGTGCAGGCTGCCATCTCGTGGCCGGCCTCTTGTTCCTGCTTGCCTGTGCCATTTGTCTCACTCCGTCCATCTGGGTCATTTTTTATAACAATTACCTGAACAGAAAATACGAGCCCGTCTTCAGCTTTGACATCTCTGTATTTATTGCCATTGCCAGTGCTGGCGGTCTGTTTTTCACTTCCATCCTGCTGTTCCTGTGGTACTGTGCATGCAAAAGCCTCCCTTCTCCTTTCTGGCAGCCGCTGTATTCCCACGCCCCCAGCATGCACAGCTATGCCTCTCAGCCCTACTCCGCACGTTCTCGCCTCTCTGCCGTAGAAATTGACATTCCTGTTGTGACACATTCATCTTAAGGAGACAAAGCCTTGGAAGCCAAGTTCTTGTGCTCATTCAAGCCATGAAAATTGCAGGCTTGATTCTCTGCCCTGCACTGAGCATAATCCTTTGTAAAGTCAAGTTTCCCAAGGTGCAAAGCCGTGGAGGCCTGAGTTCAGCAAGTCTGTTGCTGTTCTGGTCTGTTTGTTACTTCCAGACCACCTTTCCTTTTTTTCTTTCTTCTTATTTTTTTTTTGACTGAGCTCACTACAGTCGCAGTTGCTGCACAGTACACTAACAATTGTATGCATCCATCCTTTTGCTTCCTGATGTCAAAGGAGATCTGAATGTTTTTGAAATTTAATAAGCTATTCCTAGATTCCGATTTCATTGTAGGACCCTTGCACCCGTGTATTGTCCAGATGCAGGCAGTGAAACTGGGTGTAGGGGATTCACTGAGTTTCTTGTTCATCCAGACCCACATTGTAATATGTGATGTCTGAAAAGGGTATTTGGCAGACTAATTCAGTTCTGTGCACTGTTCTTTGTTTTTTTGCTGTACACACAGATACCTGTATTGGAACGTCTGTAACGGAATTAGTGCCAAATTGCCCTTTATTTTCAAAGTAGCTGTCAGAAGGAATGAAACTAAGATTTAACTAAAAATGTTGTTCTGTGCTGTAATAGCATTTTGTGAATTACTGGAGGCTAGAAATCTTTTGTGAATTTTATTTCTAGTCTGTTTTTTACTAAGTTAGCAAATTCACTAGATCTATTTTGTGATTAAAAACACTAGTATTTAAAATTTGTATTTAGAACCTTTAATGTTTTATTTGAAGGCCTTCTTAAAAATGGATTTTCAAGTATGATATAAAGTGTTCAGTTCTGGAGAGAAATGTCACTCACTGCAAAAAGGGTTAGAAAAATCATAAAGAATTCTGAAGACTAGGAAAGATTCTTTTGAAACACTGTATACAAGCTATAACAACATCTCTCTGAAAAGGGAATTATAACCCTGGGGAGAGATTTTTTAATCTAGGTGTTTTTTAAAAGTGTATATACAAGGAACAATAAGATTGTGGTTTTTTTCAGAGTTGGTCTTTATGGTTGATGAACTTTTCATGCTGTAGCTTATTTCATTACTGATTAAGAGTTAACCTTTTCAGCCTGGTTCTTTAACACCTTTCACATTCAGCTATTTTAAAATCCAGTTTTTTTTTCCTGCTGCCACCTCATAAATGCAGGAAGTTTCCTATTCCTATTTTCCATAAGATGAGATTCTGAATAACCTTTGAGCTTCAGCGTGTAGCTCTACAAGGATGAGGAGGGATTGTAAATTCCCAACCTGGGATGTCTTTAAATCACTTTTTGCCTTCTAAAATACAGAGCAGCAGGTGAGCCTTAAGGATCCAAGCTCTTCAATATGGGCTTTGACATAACTTGAAAATTTCATGATGGTGAGTTGAAGAGTGCTATAATTAAAGCAAGCATTTGATTCTCTCAGGTTTTGGTAAATTGAGATGTCATCCCAGTAAGGAAAGCTGTTTTGATTGGTGGCATTCTAGAGCTTAGTGGGTATTTGCATTTGATTAATCTCAGAATAAATTTGTATTTCTAAAAAAATCAAATCAATTTCTTTAATTCCAATTCTGAAAATTCATCCAAGATCCTGAAAACTATTTAGTTTCCTCCTCTAGGTGTTAGAAATAGAAACAAGTACTGTACTGGGCAAACTTGGTCTGTTAAAATGTGAGAAATAACAGTATTTAAACAATTGTGTTTTAGTTGGCAGATCTCAGACTTCAGTGGACTGAAGGAGGAAGCTGATCTCTATCATAATTCCTAGCATAGTCAGTAAAGTGACAGGCCATTAACACAGTGCTTAACACTGTAGACAATAAAGAATATGTAAGGAGATATGCCTCTAAAGGCCTAAACATGATACTCTCTTAGGTTTACAGGGTATGAGAGTATGAAGTATCTTTTCTAATCAGATCATGACTTGCATGGGATTAGAACGTGTGTAATAAAGTTCTTCAAAACTCAACTTTGCTTTACTGTTAGTCTGGTTGTCCAACACTGTTGCTGGTTTAGCTGCCCGTATCCTTTAATGCCTGGTAAGGTCAAAGCAAAGGGGCCACTGGTTTGTGATTTAATGTCATCTTACTTCTGCATCACTTCAGTGTCTTTTCTTCTTTGTGCCTTGCTTCAGTTACGAGTTGGCCAGTACATGTTACAGTCAGCATCTGATAACACTCTTTGAGCCTGAATTTGCAAAGCATTTTGATAATTTTTAAGAGCTGATGAATATGTCTCTTGGTGACTTAAAAAGGAACTGAATTTTCAGCATCTCCAGAACAAGAACGACAGCCTGGCAAACTGTTGCTTTCTACAAGAATATAAGTTTAGCCAGTGTTGTTTTCTGTGCACTTTAATAGCAGATGCCTCTGAGAGCTCTTTTGTATTCTGACTTTGATTTTTATGCACAGAACTTTTAAATAGTATTTGCTGCTGCCTAAGCTGATAACTTCTTGCTTTGAAAATTGTGTTTTTCCAAAAGTCAGAGATAAATGAGTTATGAAAAGTGGAGCACCAGAAGGTAATGGATTCCAGTGTAGATTTCAGTTAGCAAAATGACTGTTAAATCATGTTCTATGACCGAAGCACAGCTGGTTTTCTTTCATCAATGCTGTTAATATGTTTCTGCTGGATCCTAAGTGAAATTACCTGGAAGTGCTGTCCTGTATTTACTTTGTTACAGAAAGACATGGCCAACCTGTGACACTTGAGCCGAGTGCCACTCCAACATTTTTTCTTGCTGAGGTTGCCATTGTGCCCAGTACCAGGCTTCCCTGGATTGGTAGAGAACACGTGTCCTGCAGGTATGTCTGCCAGGGAACAGCCTCTGGGGAGACTGCACCTTCCTGGGCACTGCTGTGTGCAGGACAAGCACTTAGGGTCTTGAACAGAAAGATTTTAATTTATAGCTTGTGCAGTAAAGGTTGGGTGCTCTGGGATTACAAGAACCTGTATTTTTTCAAGTAGTTCCTGTTCAACTTCTTTTAATTGTGTTAAATGTTGGTTCTTTTTATGTGAAACAGAAGATGTGTATTTTTAATAAAAGAGTCTCATACAGACACAGTTTGTTTTAATTAATTTTGTTGAAAACAGTAGCTACTCAAATATGAAAGACTTTACCTTTTGATATTGATCACCAGACTATTTCAGATGTCTTAGGTTTAAAATATGTATACTGCATTTTAGATGCATAATTTTATAGGACTCCTGCTTTGACTGAAACAAAATAATTTTTAAAAGCATCACAAAACCCTAAACCAGCTCTTCTGAAAAGGGCGGGGGGGGGGGGGGTGGTAAGCCAAACTCCTGCCCTCCCATCTACTGTGCAGATGTGCTGTCAGCTGGAGAATATGCTGCCTCCTGGCCTGTGAAAGTCATTTGGGCATCCCAGGGACTTGAGGCACTCCAGAAGGATGGTAGTGGTTCTTGATGCTTCACTTCTGTTTTGTGCTCCTGGCTACTGCAGTTCAGCAGCATGAGGGTGACTCAGTACTGAGCTGGGGAATCCTCTGAATCCTTCCCCTCAGGGAAATCCTCAGGGTATTGCCTTGGAAAGACATGCCATAGAGTTTTCCCCACCTAGGTGGACAGAAAGGACTTCCCCGTGGAGTCTTGCACAAGACCATGATCCATCCCATTCCTTTCCCCATGTATCTCAAATTCTCATAGTTTCTCCTTTCCCTGTTTCCTCATTGGTTGTGGTATCCCTGGTGGCCAGCCCCATTTCCCTGTAGGTTAATGCCTTTTGTCCTGCCCCTTGTGCCCCACCTGTGCCCTCAGACCACTGGCCACTGACCCCATCCTTAACCTTGTGCACACCACATGGCTTGGGCTTCTGTCCCTGGTTTCCCTTTGGCGTGGGGGATGCAATAAGCCTCGCTGGAACTGCCCGTACGAAAGGCCCTTCTGCTCCTCTGTGCTGAGCTACCTGTGGTGAGTGAGCTCTGTGGACTTCAGTGCTTTGCCTGAACGCTTCCCCAGGCAGCTTTTCCACAGGAGATGCTTGCTGGGGAATGGCTAGAGGTAGCAGCAACCACCATGGAAACCTGCGTGGCTGCGTGCCTGTCCCCATTGTTCAGGGGCTAAATACAAAAGCACTTTGAGTGTTAAAAATGCTGATAGCATAGTTCAAGTTCATAAAACCTGAATTATTTTGCAGAGTAGAGTGAGACTTGCTGGTAATTCCTCAGGATTTCTAGTCTTGTCAGCTGGCATTCTAGGCAATTGGGGTTTTTTATCTGTTTTGAGAAATAGTTTGTATGAGAACTGTTCTTGTGGAGTAGGCACAGTAAAAAGCAGTTGTCAGTACTACAATTCATTTGAGGGGGTGTAAAAATTATTTTATAATCTCTGCTTCAGTGGGTTCATTTCATCATTTGCTGTCACTTTCAGACAGGCCTCCTCTCTCTCTTAGCTGGTACAAACCTAGGGACTGATTGGATGTTGGCATAAATACACAGAGAACTGTTTCTCCCAAAATGTGGGAGTGACTCATTTTTTTCATATTAAAATTCCTGTAAAACTACCCCACCTATTTGCTCTCATTGGAAACAAACATCTTGGCAGTTTTTTCCATTATTTCACAGGACTTGAGTTCACATGTGTGGTTCATTAGGTGTGTAATGTTATTTATCCCTTCATGTACGTACTGAGCAGCAGTGCACCTCAGAAGCAGCATAAGCTTTCCTGTAAGATTTTTGTTCCACTGCTGCATCATTATTCATCAAGAGGGACATGCAGAGACCTCATTGGACGATAAGAAGTTTTTGCTGTTTTCAAAACTGCTTTTTGTCTACATGCCAAGGAGTCAATTTGGTTACTTGGGTATGAGGCTGGGCGGTATGGGGCCCTTGTCTTCTGGGTGTGGCAGCTGCAAGATGTAAAGGCTGAGAAAGGGCAGTAGAAATTGTGGTGAGCTGTAGGGTATGAGATGTAGGGTATGTTTTGAGGAGAGAGACCAGACAGCTAGATTTCCAAGAACAGGGTTGTTGTCATAGTTTCTGTTCTAACAAAAACATGTAATGAAAGCTCTAAGTATTGGAATAATAAGCTTTCCTCGACATCCAAGACTCCTAGAGGAATATAAGCAGACTTGGAAAACTCAACATGCAAGTACTACTGAGGCAGGATGTGTCCTTGGGGACCACAGACATTGACCCAAATGCTCAGTACCACTTCCTAGCTATATGCCGTGCCTGCTGTGTGGCCATCACTGCCAAGGCTGACATTTCAAAGCTTGTGCTCTCCAGTCTTTCTGTGGTCTTATCCCCACATATCACAGCCCTTCAACCAGTCAGAGGGTCTGTAACCATTGATACTGCTCTAGTTTTCTTGCAAAGCCAAAATACATTTATAAGCAAATGTGCAAGATCATTTACAAATTCATATTGGAGTTTAAATAAATACTAGCAGTTATGTCAAAAATAAGTTTTTTTCCTAAAATAGGTCCTGGATCTATCTTATGTTACTGCAGACCCTTTGTGACCTACTATTCAAGAGGTTTCAGCAGGTGATTTTTTTTGATGGGCTTAAGCAGATGTAAATAGAGTCTGCTACCAGGAGATGAAATCGTGTCTTATTGCTCCTTTTGCTATTTATCTTTTCTGCTTATTTAGTTTTCAGCCCCTCAGGTGGCTAATCTGGTCTGCCTCCTGGTCACAAGCTCTACTGCCAACACAAAGGAGGCAGAGGGAGCATGTGAGTGGAAGAAGGGCAAGATGGCAGTCTTAGGTTGATTCTTCATGAAGCCTTACTTTGATACCTTTGTTTTCTCACTCAGTGAGCAATTTGCATAAGAAAGATTTTGTTAATTTGAAAAATTTTCTAGGTGGTTTGTGTTTATCAGTTGTAGAAGTGGTTGGAAAATGCTGCATTTGGAGAAAATCACAGAACATTTACTGACAAGGCAAAAAAAATCATGTTTCAAAACATTTCAAAGTTTGTTCCTTTGTTCTTTTCATTTCACCCTAATTCGCTCAGAAAGATAGTATGGCAAGAAAAAAAAAGGTAATGAAGCACAAAAAGTAGTTTACTTCTGTTGAATTTGAAGATCACACTGCTTTAGATTATGTATGTATGCAGAAACTGATGATATTAGTAAGAAAAGAGATAATTTTGTAGTAGATTAATCGTGCCAGATAGTAACGCATTTACATTTGTTTATAGGTTAGATGTGAATAGTTTAGTGTTATCTCCAGAGACTCAGCACCATGCATTACTATCATTTCAGTGTTTTGACTCTTTAATCAAGTCAGCAACAATAAAATGCTCAGGTTCTTTCTACTGTTTTGCTATGGTGTCTTGTAGACAGGTTGAATTTCCTGGCAGAACTGTCATCTCAGGAAGCAGCTGAAAGGAATTGCATTCTCACAAAATGGGCTTAGTGGAGGACATGTTTTCTACAGTACAGCTTCAGGTAAATGAGACTGCACAAATTTAGCTGCCTTCTCTTGCTGCCTATTCTGATCAATTCAATTGTACATCTCCCAGAGAGGGCCTTGAGAACACAAACCAACACATTCACCTTTCTGCTCTTTGTTAGGCTTGTGGTGGGGGCACCTTCAGATCTAACTTGTTACCTGCAACTCTGACCAAATGCTGTTAACCTCCACAGCTGCAGAGGTGAGGACATTTCCCTTGCAAATACTTGGGAGAGTCAGCTGAACAGCTGGGCAAGAGCTGGCTTTGCAAGCTTGATGGCACGCTGGGACACTGGCAGCCAGAACAGAGGGTTTCTGGTGCTGTGGCTAAGCTGAGATGCTGGTGGGGCTTTCAGCAGTTCCTGTGTCAGAGGTTATGGGGCTCATCACTCATTAAATTGCAGCAGTCCCAGTGAGTTTGCATGTACACTTTCAAATGCTGTGTGGCTGCACCTCAAGTAGCCAAGGAGTAATGAGAACCCTGAGAACTGCTAATCTTGGCAGCTGGTGCCTGCATGCCTCGCTTGAAAAAGTCCTCTGGGAGCTGTAATTCTCTCAGGCTCTCAGCAGTAATCTGCTTAGAGCTGCTGTAGAAGGTCTTGAACACTGGGCAGAACACAATTTGCTCTTGGTAAGATTCAAACACATCACAAACACTTTTTGGTTTAAAATTCACTAAAAGAACTCAAAAAGGTCTTATTAGACATGTAACATGAAAACAACATGATTTGATAAGTTATGCCTCTGAGCTTCTTGTGTGTGCATACAAAAGTACTAAAATCCTGCAGCTTTTGACTCTCCAGTCAGCCAAGTAGATTACCACTTCTAGAGAAGAAAGGTTGCCTTTGACAGTTTCTGTCCCTAGAAAATTGTCTTTTTCTTCTAAGAGCCTTTCTGAACATCATAACTGTCTTTGTTTAATGGATGGCTTCATTCCCTAAAGAATTTCAGAGTCCTTCTCCTGCTTTCCTAGCATGGGCAAGTCAGTTTTCTGGGCCCAGAAGTCCACAGCAGCTCTCCAGGAACTATTTTGTACAAGACAAAATCTCAGGTGACATCTCATTATTTTTGTAGGGCAAACCCATCCAAAGATGGCATAAGGGGCTGCAGAAGCTCCTATATGGTCTGTCAAAGATAACATAGGCCTAGATTTGCTTGAATATTATTTTAAGTTAAAACTAAAATTGGTTATGTTTCCTGGGTTGGTTCTGGAAATTATTTTTCTTACAGCTATTTTTATATTGTTTTTCATTTCATCTTGATATTAGCCTTTACTGAAATACTCCAACACATGTTCTTGGGTTTATTTCTGGCTCTGGTGTCACATCTTTCTAACAGGATTAAACACAAGTTCCTAATGGTAGGGAGCTATCAATTTGTTTTCTTGAGCTCTTAAAGTTTCCTCTATGGCTTTAAATTATTATTACATTTCCTGAGAATATTGTCTGTGTCCAGCTACTGTGTCTGTTGTGTCTCTTATCACTTGTCCAAAGTTGGCTGGCTGGACATAAGAAGGGAGAATGTAGGAGAAGGCAGGATTTCCTTTTCCATTGGCACAGGCATGGCAGAAAATATCAGAAATTTGGACATAGAGTTTAAATTGGAAATCCCCACTCGGTATATGACCCCTCCATAAAAAA